GGTCCAGTAGTTTTTGAGTTTATTCATTACAAACATACAAAAATACAAATCTTTCCTCTTTATAATATTAGTATAGATAACTGTATAGATATTAATTATAATTAATACCTATACAGATATATAAAATTAGAGTGTCTATTTGTAATATTATAATAACTGCTCTTTGGAATGTCTAGACCGATTTTGCAAGACTTTTATTGCCAGCTAATGTACAGGAGTAACATAAGTCACTTTTATTTTGGAAAATTGAAACAAAAAAAAAATATTTTCTAAAATTCATATTTTACGCAGACAAAGTCACGGGAAATAGCATATAAACCATGATACATGTTTTTAATTTTATTTCCAGGCTAAGAAAGTTCCAGGTTGCATTGTACAGCTAGGTGACAGGGCAATAGATGTCACTCTGCACCGAGCTATTGCTTCCCTGTCTTGGGGACAGACCATAAGGTTCATCTGGCATTTGCTCACATCAAACCAGACTATAAGGTTAGTAACTCTTTCTGTTTAGAATTAGACAGATAAATTCAAATATTAATTATTCTGTTTTCGGCTTACTCACGTAACTGTTTGACGAGGAACTCGGCTAGTTTCAAGCCATGCTAGAGGCTCATATTCATTAGCAGCTTTCCAAGACAATAAAAAAAACAGTTCATTAATGAAAACATAATAATTTCTTATATCTCGCGAAAGTTTTACTATAAAAATTCAAGCATAATGTCTTTATTTGCCAGAAGCTTACACATGTAAAAAGGTTCTATCTTAAACTCAAGTGGTGCCAATTTCGCCAAAAAGTTTTTGTGTCTTCATTACAAAAACCTATTAAATTTTTCTTTTAGTAGGTATAGTATATTAAATATTTATATTTCAGTCTGGAAGAAGTAGAAAAATGTAAACAGAAGAAAATGTTAGAAGACATGTTGGAGGAGATGGCTGAGGAGTTCCCAGCATTGAAAAGAGTGTTTGTGGTAGAGAGAGACATGTATCTCTGTCATTCCCTGCAAGTAGCTGCTTTGCAACCGCGTGAGTAGTCTTGTCAGTACTTTACCTAATAAACTCTTAAATAAAGTGGCACTTTAATACGATAACCAACTTTACATTTTTGTAATAAAGTTCAAAATAGATTGAAGATAGTTTCAACGATACAAAAGTATATAGGTAACTTTAATATGCTAGTTTTCTTTCAGGTCGTGAGCCTTGCCGCATTGTGGGCGTTGTCGGTATCGGCCATGTAGCAGGCATCGTGGAACATTGGGGCAAAATCAAACCTCAAGACATTCCTCCACTACTCCAGTGAGTAAACATGATTATTTAACCATAACCAAAGACACTGGTAACTTTTAAGCGAACATATTAACATATTCATCTCCAAAATGTCTATATTTATTTATTAAAACTTAATCAGTAATTTTACTTTATAATAATATCTATGACATTATGCCACTGTACAACATAACTCCCACTTTTCTCTATTTATGTCTCACGGTCTATATTTTAGTCATGGTATCATATATATTGGACTAAAATAATAATAAAAAGTAAGATTGGTCTCGAAAAATTGTAATAAAATTATCATTTACAGATTTCTTGGTTTATTGTAATTAATTTCAGTTTTTAGTTGCTTTTCCAACAAAATTTTACATTTGCTTAAATGGTATTATACTTTATCATCAACAGGGTGCCGCCGCCGTCTCTGTCCACGCGTGTGATTCGCGTCACTGTACGCGTGGCGTGCATAGGCGCTCTGATCTACGCTGGGTATAAGTTCAGACCTCGACGCTGGTTCCCTTGATAGCGATACAATGCAATGTGGTGACCATAATAATATGACTGAGGTAAGTAATTTTATAAGTGATCTGAAAACTACCACATAAAAATTGGATATACATGCATAAAGTTCACAATGCAATATTAAACTTCAAACCATCAAGGAAAGAGTGAATTTCTTATTAAAAGGCTGGCAATGCGAGTGTCCATAGGCGGCGTTGATCGCTTATCATCAGGTGATCCGTATGCTTGGTTGCGTCCTATTCCATAAAATAAATTAACGACGTGCTAGGTTGGCGGTGATGTCGCTAGCCTCTTTTTAACTAGACGTCCATAGGCACGTAGTAAAAAAGAAAAAGGAGTACATAGTTATTTATTCATTGATTTTATTTTTGTCTTTTTTCAGGATTGGCTTGTGCGTTGGCTAACTATAATAAGAAGTTCATTTTGTGATGTTTGGTTCTTTATAAGGTCTTGCAATAAAATTAATAATAATTCTATAAATGCAAGTTGTTGTTAGAGAGAATGTTAATTAAGTTTACTGGATTATTCAAATGGGCCATGTTTGTTAGCAAACAAATATATATGTGAAATAAAATATATAAATAATATTATGATTTAAATATCTATGACATTGTATATAAGGTGGTTTTTGCTTGTAAGCGCTGATACATAAAAATACTTTATTCAATAGCTTTGCCTGATTTTTAAGTGATCACAGTCATTTTATATTGACTCGACAGAATTGATTGGTTCGTCGGATCATCCGCATTGTAATATCATAATACCTATACTTACAAATAATGTTACAAGTAAAATAATTTGTTGTTTCTGGGTGATTGGATGTTCCGTTTGCACTAGACTTAAATATTAAGGATCAGATTGGGACCTTCGCCCATAGAGTGGGCGAGTTACATAAAAGCTCAAGAATAATAATTGATGATTGTAAAAATGCCTTTCATTTATCTATATACAATAATTAGGCTGTAGTAATACATGATCAATTACAATGAATTATATTTAGACGACTGATTTATTGATCTACATAACGCACAGCTTCCGCTTGCTCTAAGATTTAAGACCCTCCACAATAGCATGTATTAAATTAATGTATGACAATTATTATGTTTGAGTATATAACGGAATAACCAAGGTTTAAAGTGCTTAAAAGTACTTAATAGAATTGATAGTCACACGGTCCCATTTCTTAGATCTGAACCTTACATGTACAGAATTGATTTTATAAAAACAACTTTAGTATAGTGTTTGACGAGTCTTAATATAAAGATGCTGATAAACTTGAGCATTCATTTGTAATGAGCGTTTTGCACTGTTACATTTCAGGAAAATAACGAGTGTTTTAGCGAGCAATCTATCAAGCATTCTGGTGAGTATTCTATCGAGTGTTCTAGCAAGCATGCCACTATCAAACGTTCTGGCGAACATCGTAGCGAAGGACAGTAAAGCTATATCAAGGCGACGTTAGGAGAGCCGACCATGAGCCGAATACAATTCGTCTAGTGTGAACCGACTACAATCCTCGAAGCGAGCGCGCTGCGAGCATTTCGTTCGTGCTCGGTTGCGCTCCGCTTGTTGTCGGTTTTTGACGAACGCAAAGGGATTTGCTTTGTACTCGCAGTGGTCACTGCGCTCACTCACTGCGGAAAACTACTTTCGAGGATAGTGATCGTTGTAGGTTCATTGTACGTCCACACTTGACGCCGTGAACGGTTCCACTTGTGCTTGGCTCGTGCTCGGTTCTCCTACTGTAGAGCTGCCTTTTGAGAAGAATTTTCACGACGAGCATCGACTAGAGCGCTCGCTAGAATGCTCATAAAATGTTTGTAGCAATTTTTGCTACGCTCGGCTCGTTGTTGAGTTCAATAAATTCATAAACGCCGAATGCTTAATGTTCTGTTACGGTTGGAATGCTCAGGTTTATCAACACCGTGGGGTGTCCGTTGCAGAATATTGTGTTATTAGATATTTTACTTACTTTTGTAAAATACCAATTTATGACTTTTAATTTAGTAATGGCTGCAATTAAGTTTGTCTTAAGATTAATAAAATAAGACGTGAACTTGATTTTATTAGGAATTTTGACTGAGCTATGTTTTTATATTTTGTTGATTAACAATTTCTAACTCAAACTACTACAAAAATAGCAAGGATTTGAAATGAGTCTTCCTGGGCTATGTATTTGGCATTCCTATGTACTTATGTATAAAAAATGTTACGTTGCTACCGTGAAGGTATCGATTTCAAACCTTTCTAATAAAAAAGTGTTCTATGCGCGTTAGACCAATTTTTATGTAGTTAGTATTGGTTCGATAAATAAAAAAGGACTGTGATAGAAAATTATAAATAAATTTCCATCCGTCTTAAAGAATTAGACCGATATTTATATCATAATTTATATACCCATCGTTAAATTGAGTTCTTAAAACTAAATAGTGCATTATAATTTTAGAGGTTTCTTATGAAACTTCTGCTTTGTAGCTCAGTAACATGAAAAATATTGTTCACATTACCTATATTGAATAAAGGAATAACCTAAAATGAAATCTTTTATTTCCCTTCATACATTCTTACAAACTTTGCCTACATTTGATCAAGGAAATTAAAAGGGTCAAATCATAGTATGATGTAAGGAATGAAGAGCACCGCTATTCGTAAACTAGTTCCGCTACTCAGTAATAGATGGCGCTTATTCATCTTTTATATGATACAGATTTATATTTTCTGCATCGTATTCCTTTTTAAAAGGCCGTTACGCTCCTGTGGCTTCTCTGGTATTGCGGGTGTCTACGACCGTTGATCGTTGTAAGTTACCATCCAGGTGAGGTGTCTGCTCGTTTTCCTCCTATTCTCCTATTCCATAAAACACCCAAGAAGTTTTGCACATTTAATATTGAAATCAATGAAAAATCTTTTTAATACTGGCTGGTTAAAAAAAATGAAATCAGCTTGCCTTTATAATTAGACAAAAACTAATTAGTCAAAAATGGACAAGTTTTAGTAATACAGTGTTTTCACGGGAAATTCAAAGTAATTTATTAATAATGCGACAAAATTGTATATTACAAAGTTTAAGATAAATATGAAATACGAAACATGCATTCTACTTAGACGGTTTTTGAGCAGAACTTTTGAAGTTCCGTCTATTCGTAGACCAATCAAAAAATCAACACGTAAGCTATAATTCACTCTCGGTTTGACGAATATGTTTAGAAGAAATCAATTATTTTATTTTAGTAATGTTATAACTAAAGCTACAGAATTTAATGTGAACTTATTTTATCTCTTGTGCAGCGGTATGCTCAATATATCCTAAGAATGCATATGCGAGCTCTATACAATTACCAAAATCGGCAACCCTACTGCAAAATGATGAAAATACTACCGTGGTACTCTTGGGGACGGTACATTTCAGCAAACAATCAGTTGAAGATGTGTCCGAGGTACTTACCTATTTTCATTTTAAAAATAATTTATTATAATGACATCTTCAATTCCTGGCTGTTTTCTGCAACAGGGTTTCAGTAAATTTTAGGTTTCTATGAAAACTGATAAGCCGTGAGGATTGTATTTATGCTTTTAATTTGTGCTGTGTGTAAAAAAATAACAATAACGCTAATTAGGTGCCAATATTTTTTGCCATCAGATAGTGAAAGTCTTAAATCCAAACGCTATTTTGGTAGAATTATGTCGGCAGAGAGTATCACTTTTGGAATTGGACGATAAAAAGTTTCTCGAAGATGCTAAAAACTTTGATGCCCAAAAGTTGAAGTAAGCTATTTTAACTATTTTATAGGTACCTATTTAAGGTACAGAGACTGAGTCTTCAGAAACAAATAATGACTGATAAATCATTATACAAAGTGAAGAAGGTAGGAGATAGTATGCACCTTTAATATCTATTATTATCTATGCACGTTCGAACAAACTCCTCAGCTATAAATAATTTAGCATTATATGTACAGATTTACCTACTTTTGTGTACCTACATTTTTAATATGAATACACGAGCCTCACTGAGACCTTTCATCATGACGATTGATGACTGTACCTTACTTAGGGCATAGTTTAGAAAGAAGCGTCGAAGAAAACTTTGTAATGTTTATGTAACATGTTTCACACAGAGAGGCAGTAAAAGGCCAAAACTTCGTGTCTGGAATGTTACACGCAATGCTATTAAAGACTTATGCTGATATCGCTAAAGAGTTGGGAGTCGCACCTGGAGGAGAATTTCGAAGAGCTTATCATGAGGTCAGATCATTATGAACCATGTTAAATATTGATAAAATATAAAGATTTGCTAGTAATAACTTAGCATGTTTTGTTTTTTGTAGATGAAGAAAATACCAGGATGTAAGTTATTTCTTGGCGACCGACCAATTCAAATAACGATTGCTAGAGCGTTTCAGTCGTTGAGCGTGTATGAATTGGGTCAAGTATTGTACCATCTTACGACAACAAACCCAAAACCGCTAGAGTTGGTATTTTTTAAACTACTGTTTTTATTTTCATATTTATTAGCTAAAGAGCCTTTTCACTAAACGGTTAAAACATATTTTTTATAACAGCAAAGACCAATTAGAAAAGTACAAAGATAGGGATTTTGTTCAAGCGCAATTTGAAGAAATAACTAGAGATGTACCCGCTTTTAAGAAAATTTTTCATGTTTTTGTCGACGAGCGCGACAAATGTCTTGCGTATTCACTACAAGAATGTGTTCGTGCTGGTAAGAAGTCCATGATAAGAGTAGAGTAGATATAAACTCGACATTGAAAATGGTGTTAATTTATTATAAACATCTAATTTTACTAATTAAAATCCCTACTTAATAAGTACCTACCTAGTGTCGACAATATACATATGTAAATTTTAAAATTAAATACTTACATAGTCAGTTACATAAACATCAAACCAAACCTTGATTGAGCTTTTTCTTTTTTGGCCTACTCTCACCTGCTTGCAGGTTTTAATTATTAGATTTAAATTAAAACAAGATTTTGTTTCAATAGTTCAAAGTCCTCGCGTCCTTGCTGTGGTCGGCATGGGACATGTAGATGGCATTGTAAAATATTATGGGAAAATGAGGCAAGAGGATATCGTGCCACTACTGTTGTAAGTTTAAAACTCAAGTCTTAGTAAAACACAGACTTAGTTTATACAGGGTGTCCCTGAAGTCTACGATCAAAAGTGATCGGCAAGGTTCCAATAGTTATCAGAAACAATAATCAAAATATCATACCTATAGTTTTACAAGTAAACGTACACTACCTACTATTATAATTTATCAGGTACCTAATTGTAATAGGAGGTACATAGGTACCTCCACGTTAATAGTAACGTGCACTACACACTTATCTAATTAAATTTCTATGGGCTTACCTCCAGGTAAGGAGTACAATAGGTAGGTATTATAGGTGAATAAAACTAAGAATTAAGTATTACTATTTTATACGACTCATTATTACAAAGTGTTTACCCCTTACATCTATACCCGTTGAATATTTAAGTTTCATATGCGTCGATCGCGGACGTATCATGTTATTAATATTAACGTGTGCTTGTCTAGAGTCAAGAAACATAATAAATATCGCAAGTAATCGTGCGTTACCCACATACACATAAATAGCTACCTACATGATACTTTCTGGCTGTTATCTAAATGAATTGCCTCTAGGTACGCAGTTATTAATCGTTATTAAATTTACATCTTCTACGTTTAAAAATGCACATAACTTACTTTTTTTATATTATTTATTTAGAAATACAATAAGATTTTGTAGAAACGAGTAGGTATCCCGCACACGCCAAACTTATTTATTTTTCTTTATTTTCAGTGATTAAATTAATCGGTTAATGAATATAAACATAAAAGTTCATGAAGGTGAGGAGCTTACCTAATAAAATGTTTAAAACTTAGCGCTAGGCATAATTTTTTTTAGTACCTACATTTAAATTTAACCTATCAAAATTTTATTTTTCGAGTCTTGGTGACAATCTCTGGCATTGGGCATGCCTTGCCTTAATGTACTTTTTAAAATTTAGATGGTCCAAGATTTTTTTATCGTCAGATATTTTTCTCATCGTGTTTATAAATTCTTGCTCCTTTACCTACCTACTTTCTTTTTCTTGAATTTACTAAAATAAATATCTGACAATTTAAAAATAAGTTCCAAGTTTAGGTAGGTAGGTATCGATAGCTTGTATGTGTTAGGTGCATTGATTATAATAAAAACCCAAAGTCCTCTTTTTTCAGCATACCCCCACGGCCAATGTATAAAGTGATATTACCAAAAGTTGTGAAAATTGGTTTCTATTTTATTATTTTTTCTTTTTTTTATAGGTTATTGTTTGGATAAATAATATTTATTAACTAAATTAGAACTAAGTAAAGAGAGTTGAAATAAATATTTATGTCCGCATTATATTGTGTTTTATTAATCACACAAACCACCAGGCCGGTAAGCGGGCGTGCAAAGCGTGCACTGAGGCTTTAGTACGAGTTTGATTTACGTTTAAAGTATTTGAAACAAGTTCGCGTCCGGCACTCTGATTGGCCGGCGCCGGCGCCAATGAAGCATGCCAGCAGCGCCGAACGCGTACTCGTTACGATTACTTTAAACGTAAAACAAACTCGTACTAAGGCCTCAGCACCCAAGCGCACGATCATGGGACGGCAAATCGAGTGACTCATTACCTACTACATGCCTACTACCTACTCAAAATCATGTCATATGGGTACTGAGGCCCTGGCTTTGAGCTGGAAGGAATAGGGTGGTTTTTAGTTAGTAAGAGTCACTTCCTTAAAAGTCATTTAATGACTTTTTACGCACCAAACAAAGGGGGGGGGGGCATAATCGGTATGAACACGGTAATTACGCGGGTGCTCAAATAGCAGCGAGCCTGCAAACCACTCAAAGATGCGAAAGTTCAGCAGTCGCGGTCGCGCTTGCGACCACTCAATTCAACGATGTCAAACCTAACTTTACAGCGCCCTCTTGTATTAGGTAGCTGAACATACTTAGTTTTCAATTTACATTTATTGGTTAATTGTAATTAGTTTATAATAAAGTAATTTATAAATTCAGGAAGTATTAGATGAACACAAAAAAATGCACGTTGCGTTCGACACTCGCTATCTGTACTAAGTCAACGAGCGTCATCCAAAAAAGTGGATTAATTATTTTAATTTAGTTATTTATCACACATTTTTACTGTAAGTCTGTGATAAATACCCAGTATTTACGTATTTACTCAGTATTTATCCGTCTTGAGTATTTATTCGACAAATCGCCCATCTCTAGTGACATCAGTAAACTCAAACTCATACTAAGGGTACCAGAACTGACAAGTGACGGCTGACGAGAGTGACGAGTTGTCAGTAATACTTGTTTTGGTAGTGATTGTGACTGAAATTTCAGAAATTCAGAGGTTTGAGAACTTACTGGTGAAGTAACGTTGTTTTACTACGGTCGGTTACAATTTATTAAAAAAAATACTATACGTTTCTGATGGAATTGATCTTGTTTGTGTTTGAAACTGTGTTTCGGAATCAATGCAAACTGCAAAGCTTTAATATTTATGTATAAAAATACCTAAGTGTATGAATACGCAAGTAATAACAATGTTATTTATCTTTATTTTATGTATTTTGCAACCAGTCTTAATGTCCAAAGAATCTGGATGTGGCTGTAACCTTAATCGTGGGAAAGATGAAGGTGTCGATAAAGCGAATTTCATTGATTCTAATGAAATTGAACAATGTCCTTTTGAGGATGGAAACAAAGCTAGTAAGTATCTCATCTCTGAACAGATGAATACATTCGATGAGATGATATTAGTGCCAGCCGGGGAATATCAAGTGGGCACAGATGATATAGCAATAGAAAGTGATCAAGAAGGTCCGAAAAGAATAGTGAAACTAGAAAGTTTTTACTTAGATAAATATGAGGTTTCAAATAAGAATTATGCTAATTTTATAAGTGAAACTAATTATAAGACTGAAGCTGAACAATTTGGAGATAGTTTTGTTTTCTCAGCATTCCTGAATAATACATTTAGAGAGCAATTAAAGGATTTCCGTGCTGTGCAAGCAATGTGGTGGTATAAAGTACTTGGTGCTGATTGGAAGCATCCACACGGGCCTGATTCTGATATTCAAGGTATAGTTGCCAGTGTTGTTTTTTATGTAGCTATATTTTATCATATTTTAAATATTTCTTGAAATATGTTTGCACACCTACATTTATGTTGAACATAAAATGTTCAAAAAGAGTATGAGTTTCAAAGTTATTTCAAGATTATGTAGCAATAAATAAATAAAAATATTTCATTGGTACATTATAAATTATGATAGCACTAGTACTATCTTTATTATTTCACATTACGAATTGTTATCACACAGCAATTTGGCTCAATGGCTCAAAGTGAATATTTCAAAATATGAGTTTACACAGAAAGTAATTTATAACTGTAATAAAGCTTTATATATTTTTTTAGAAATAATGGATCATCCAGTTATTCATGTATCTTGGAATGATGCAAAAGCCTACTGTAAATGGAAGGGTGCTCGGCTACCAACAGAGGCTGAATGGGAGGCAGCATGTCGAGGAGGCCATCGTGACACCAAGTACCCTTGGGGAGACAAGCTGTTCCCTGACAGAAAGCACATGTTAGTTTCAACTGTCAAACACCAAGCGGTCACCGGTGACGGCAACCTATTGTTCTATAATTGTGTCTATAATGACGGTACTCGACAAGTTAACAAAATGTTAAATACTAAAATTAATTAATTACAATAAAATCTTTAGCATCCTTCTAGTATCCTTGGTCGAGTGCCAAGATTTTTCCAGGTCAAGAGTGTGGTATATTGTCTCTTTAAATTGCAATAGGCTCACCTTATTACATTGGACTAATAACAAAAGTTGGTGAAAATTAGATGTTACAATATGTGTGCAGTACTGTGCAATGTCTCATTGACTTTGATGACATCATAGTATGAAAGTTTTCTCTATGTTAAAACGTTTATTCTATTTTTTAGGGCTAACATCTGGCAAGGGACTTTTCCCACGCATAATTCAGCCAAAGATGGTTATGTGGGCACTTGTCCAGTAGACATGTTTCCTCCAAATGACTTTGGACTATACAACATGGCTGGTAATGTGTGGGAGTGGACTGAAGACTCATGGGCTGGAAAAAATGTAAATATATTTTTTCCTTCCTTTATTTTCAGTGTACTGAATTCCTGATTTATTAATATTTGCATGATTGATGGCTAGGCAATACCTAGACGACTACAGCGCTGTGCAATGTATTAGATTTGATTTATATACCCTTCATTGACAGATAGACGGACAAACAATTCAATTTCATTGTTTCAACACTGCCTAATTAATTATATAAATAAAATTTATGTTTTTTTAATTTCTTATTCTTTTAGGACTAGACAATAATTATATTATATAAGTATAATAAATAAAATAAGTGATAGACCGAGTTTATTAATATTTACTTTTTTCTTTACAGCCGAAAGAAAAGGTAAAGAAGGGTGGTTCTTATTTGTGCCACCTGTCCTACTGCTATCGTTATAGATGCTCATCACGATCTCATAATACGGAGGACAGTTCTGCAGGAAACTTGGGATTCCGATGTGCTAAATCGGCGTAATCATAATATAGTGTTCCTTTATTAAAAGTGGCTACAAAAGGAGCATACTCCAATCCGCAATGTTTTCATTGGAGTTTCGACTTTATGGTGATAGGTACAATAAAATTGCAAATCGAATAAGGACTATAGATTGAATAAAATCAAATAAGGAATAAGTCAAAATATTACCGTTTATTATATATTATGTTCCTAATGCGTTATTGATAGATTCTCCAAAATGAAAGTTAGGCCAATAACTAAGTCCTAGTGCACAATCCCGTTAAGATTTTTTTAAATTACTTGAACATGACAAAAAAAGAACAAATAAATTGCTTAAAAAATTGTTATACTGCTTTGTATATTTATTATTTTTGTATGTTTTTGTTTATTTATATTTTAAAATTGTATACATTGTTTTGAAGAAAAAGTCTGATTGAGTTTCAATTCTTCCTTAAAACAAACCCTGAACTTTATGCTTATTTGTGATTATGAATCTTAGAGTAGATGTAGTAGGAAATGATTGGGAATGATAAATGAAAGTATCCAGTAATAGTACACTTATAGTTTAATTGCATATTTTTGTATAAAAATTACAATAGGTACATAAATTGATTTCTATATGATTAATGAAACAAAATTTATATTTACAAAATGGTGAGCTTCAGCTGCTTGGCTGCTAACAAAAGCAGAATATTCGGAGTACAAAAAGCACCTTTAATTTTGGTAAGTACAAAACAAAACGGAAGACTAAAAGGAAGTTTGAAAGCTACTGCTATAAACCCGTTATCGATTTGATCTAATATACATAATTTTGGTATAAATAAAAGATAAATTAAACAAAATAAATAACCAACACAACCACTTTAGTGTCATAGTAATCTAAACCTAAATTGAACATTCGGTCGAAATTAAAATACAGTTTGTTGTACTTAAAATAGAAAAAAAAAATAATAATCACGTCAAAATAAACAACAATAAAAAGTTGTCATCGAAATATTAACACCTGTGTTATAAATACACAAAAAAGGCAAACGGCGTTGATAAATCATCTTGTATATTTGATTTGGTGGCTTCCGCCAAAAGGTATAAACCCATTTTGATCTAATCATGAATAAGCCTTGATAATCATGAGCTTGTAAAAATACTGATCAATACTTAAAACTAAACACTGATTCTTATTAACATTTTAGCACTACAATCAAAGCTATTATTTCCTATTTAACACTATTCCATTGAACATTTTCGCTGCCATTAACTTTAAGCATTTATTTAAGTATTCTATAAAATTTGTGGGCTTCTATTATACTATACATTATTACGTTTCACACTATTATTAGTGTATATTTCTGAAGTATCCAAATTAGGTATAGATTTAAGATGAAACTAACATAATATGTATAATTAACTATTTTTTTTATAACAACATTTCATATAATATGGTCATGTTTTCTAATCAACCACACATCAAAGGTAATGTACACTGGCATCTTTTATTCTTAAAACAATAAGAGCGACTTTCGCAGAGCGTTACCGTTGATGCGAGGTAAACAATTAAGTATAAACTATAATAACATTGTTTATCATCATATCATCTAGTGAAAATGTTAGTTTTAATGTTTACAAGCTCATAATCATAAATAATATATCTCATTTAAGCACCATGTATAAACTACATGTGTCTGTAAGTATTATGACTGTATTCTTTTAGAGGTCTCTAAACTCTAACTCTAATAATAAAAGTATAAAACGCTATGCGATCACAAATCTAGCTATACATTTACATCAATAAAATAAAATTTACACCATTGATACCGCCTAACTGTATGTACACTAGACAAATCACATGTACCACTACTTCTAGGGTTATTATTGACGAGGCGACATGGCGAGAGGCCGGACCGAAGCTCGCGCATCCCTCTATACATCCGACACCTTTACCCCGAAGGTCCACGCATTAAATAAGAAATATTAACGTCCCGTAATAATTTCAGGCTATGAATCACAGAGTACTACGGAATGCTAAGGTGGGCGCCTTGTCCGCCGTCAGTTGCCGGCCGGCAGCACGGTACGGGACCGCGCGAACGTGCCGTTCGTGTGCCCGTTGGTGAAGCCGTTCTTCAGCGAACCGTTCTTGTACGTTATGTCTTTTATTTCTGTCGTCTCTGGTTGAGGTGATCGGGCGCGAACCTGGAACGAAACCAACATTTTAGTAATATATTCCAAACGATGCTGCAAGTGACGGAATAAGAGTTTGCATTAAATAGTGTAAAATCCAGGAATTCAAAATATACCTTAGGTTTGGAGTAGGACTGGTTGTAGAAGTCTTTGAAAAGGAAGAAGAACATGACGGCGTGCATGCCGATCCACCAGACGAACGCGCGAGGGTAGTCGCATTCAATGAACAACAGCTGGAATGCGTGCACCATAATGCCGACGAATTGAACCTGGAAAGTAGCAAATAGAATGTTTATTAAGTACCTCAGCTGACACATTAAGGGCCAATTAAGATTATAATAGCACTTTAGATAAATGCACATTCCTCGAGTCATATTCATAATTGTTAGACAGTTCTAAAATTAGGTAAAGCTGATAATATGAATCATACCATTTGTAAAGTAGTGAGGTACTTCTTCCACCACAGGTATCTCCTCATGTGGGGTCCCATGGCAGCCAGCATGTAGTAGGTGTACATAATAATGTGTACGAAGGTGTTGAGCAAGCCGAAGAAGGTGGAATGACCGCCCGGCGTGAACTTGACGCCGAACCACACTGACATCGGCATCACGCCGTGGTGGATCACGTGTAATGTTGATACATGGTCAAACTTCTTTCTCAGCACAAAGAAGAACTAGAGAAGAAAGAATAGGTTGATATTAATATTATTAATTATTTTTAATATTGAATGGTGTAACTAATTTAAACTGTCAAACACCAAGCGGTCACCGGTGACCGCAACCTATTGTTCTATAATTGTGTCTACAAAAC